AACAGTGACACTGCATCCTACAGAAGAGTGAAAACACTGACACTGCATCCCAGAGAAGAGTAAAGACACTACAGTGACACTGCATCCTAGAGAAGAGTAAAGACACTGACACTGCATCCTAGAGAAGAGTGAAGTGTCACTAAAGACACTACAGTGACACTGCATCCTAGAGAAGAGTAAAGACACTGACACTGCATCCTAGAGAAGAGTGAAGTGTCACTAAAGACACTACAGTGACACTGCATCCTAGAGAAGAGTAAAGACACTGACACTGCATCCTAGAGAAGAGTGAAGTGTCACTAAAGACACTACAGTGACACTGCATCCTAGAGAAGAGTAAAGACACTGACACTGCATCCTAGAGAAGAGTGAAGTGTCACTAAAGACACTACAGTGACACTGCATCCTAGAGAAGAGTAAAGACACTGACACTGCATCCTAGAGAAGAGTGAAGTGTCACTAAAGACACTACAGTGACACTGCATCCTAGAGAAGAGTAAAGACACTGACACTGCATCCTAGAGAAGAGTGAAGTGTCACTAAAGACACTACAGTGACACTGCATCCTAGAGAAGAGTAAAGACACTGACACTGCATCCTAGAGAAGAGTGAAGTGTCACTAAAGACACTACAGTGACACTGCATCCTAGAGAAGAGTAAAGACACTGACACTGCATCCTAGAGAAGAGTGAAGTGTCACTAAAGACACTACAGTGACACTGCATCCTAGAGAAGAGTAAAGACACTGACACTGCATCCTAGAGAAGAGTGAAGTGTCACTAAAGACACTACAGTGACACTGCATCCTAGAGAAGAGTAAAGACACTGACACTGCATCCTAGAGAAGAGTGAAGTGTCACTAAAGACACTACAGTGACACTGCATCCTAGAGAAGAGTAAAGACACTGACACTGCATCCTAGAGAAGAGTGAAGTGTCACTAAAGACACTACAGTGACACTGCATCCTAGAGAAGAGTAAAGACACTGACACTGCATCCTAGAGAAGAGTGAAGTGTCACTAAAGACACTACAGTGACACTGCATCCTAGAGAAGAGTAAAGACACTGACACTGCATCCTAGAGAAGAGTGAAGTGTCACTAAAGACACTACAGTGACACTGCATCCTAGAGAAGAGTAAAGACACTGACACTGCATCCTAGAGAAGAGTGAAGTGTCACTAAAGACACTACAGTGACACTGCATCCTAGAGAAGAGTAAAGACACTGACACTGCATCCTAGAGAAGAGTGAAGTGTCACTAAAGACACTACAGTGACACTGCATCCTAGAGAAGAGTAAAGACACTGACACTGCATCCTAGAGAAGAGTGAAGTGTCACTAAAGACACTACAGTGACACTGCATCCTAGAGAAGAGTAAAGACACTGACACTGCATCCTAGAGAAGAGTGAAGTGTCACTAAAGACACTACAGTGACACTGCATCCTAGAGAAGAGTAAAGACACTGACACTGCATCCTAGAGAAGAGTGAAGTGTCACTAAAGACACTACAGTGACACTGCATCCTAGAGAAGAGTAAAGACACTGACACTGCATCCTAGAGAAGAGTGAAGTGTCACTAAAGACACTACAGTGACACTGCATCCTAGAGAAGAGTAAAGACACTGACACTGCATCCTAGAGAAGAGTGAAGTGTCACTAAAGACACTACAGTGACACTGCATCCTAGAGAAGAGTAAAGACACTGACACTGCATCCTAGAGAAGAGTGAAGTGTCACTAAAGACACTACAGTGACACTGCATCCTAGAGAAGAGTAAAGACACTGACACTGCATCCTAGAGAAGAGTGAAGTGTCACTAAAGACACTACAGTGACACTGCATCCTAGAGAAGAGTAAAGACACTGACACTGCATCCTAGAGAAGAGTGAAGTGTCACTAAAGACACTACAGTGACACTGCATCCTAGAGAAGAGTAAAGACACTGACACTGCATCCTAGAGAAGAGTGAAGTGTCACTAAAGACACTACAGTGACACTGCATCCTAGAGAAGAGTAAAGACACTGACACTGCATCCTAGAGAAGAGTGAAGTGTCACTAAAGACACTACAGTGACACTGCATCCTAGAGAAGAGTAAAGACACTGACACTGCATCCTAGAGAAGAGTGAAGACACGACAGTGACACTGCATCCTAGAGAAGAGTGAAGACACGACAGTGGCACTATAGCCCAGAGGAGAGTGACTCTACTGATGACCTCCACTGAGTTATCTGAATGCTAAAACGCACCCAGTTACATTTCTACCTCATCTTCACACAGTGCAGCTCTAAGAAGGGTGGCTTTATTTTCCAGGCTGGCCTGTGTACCCTGGGAACATGGGGATTGGTTGTGTACCCTGGAAACAGAGGGATATTTGAAATCTGGATTCATCATAGAAAATTATTAATATGTACTGAAACAGGAGCTCTGTGGCAGAAAATAAGAAAAAAAAAACAAAACAACAAAAATTCCTCACTGTTTTTTCCTAGGTCAGGACTTGGGTGTTAGTGATACCTGCCTTTGGTCCCTGCCTTCCTATGGGTTCCCTCTCAACTTCTCCAGGTCCTTAGGCCAAGGAACCTGCATGCTTTCTAGTGTTTCCCTGGAGGACATTGCCTTTTGTTTCCAGAAAACACTCTATCCTGCTTGGTCTTGTCCTGTGCATGGCATTACACTGCGCTGCATGAAAGAAGCACTCAGAAGCAGACTCAAATGGACTGTGAGCTCAGAAAGGCTGCAGTACTCAAAGAGCTAGATTGTTGTTTTTATGGGCTTTTATGGAGTAATTTTACAATTTGAGGAAAAAATACCTGAAAGTACAGTGATTTCCTGTGCAATCCCTCCCACTGACATCTTCTCCCAAATTCTCTGTTACTAACTTGATTTTGCTCTTTAAGACAGCTTCACTATGTTTACCCAGGCTGGTCTAGAACTCTGGACCTTCCTGCCCCCAGCTCCTGCACACTGGGATCCAGGAATGCTCTATCCTTCCTGGTTTAACATCTAGAATTAGTATTATGTATTTGTTATCGTTAATAGCCCAACACTGATACATTATTAACTAAAAGTCAGAGTTTACACTAGGTATCTTCTCTCTGAACCACAGTATCACACAGAATAGTTTCACTAGCATAAAAATCTTCATACAATACCTGTGTGTCCCTTCTATCTCCAAAGACTCAGTAATCACACCTTTTTGTCTTTTTCTGTTATAATTGTATGTCACGAAGCCATGTTAGGCTGACTTCTGTCACTGTGCATTAATGGTTTCGTCTGTGTCTTTTATAGCTTACTAACTCATTCCTTTTCATTACTAAAATCTGCCACCTGTGCACACACATAGGCATGCAGACATACACAAATATCTAGCAAGGAAATGATACTAATTAAATCCTGAATAGATATACATGGCGACTTTTTTCTATTTTAGTGTTTTACCTGCATATATGTTTGTGTGAGAGTGTCAGATCCCCTGGAACTGGAGTTACAAACAGCTGTGAGCTGTCATGTGGGTGCTGGGAATTGAACCCTGGTCCTCTGAAAGAGCTAGTGCTATTAACCACTAAGCCGTCTCTCCAGCCAGCAAGTTCAGATTTTATGAAACACAGGACAGCACTGGAGGACTCTCTGAAGACAGCCTTGCTTCAGATCTGAGTGCTCAACACCTCTAAATGGTCTTCCATTCTATAGTGCCTCTCCCCTTACTTCAACACACAGATTCTTGGTGCATTTTCATGGGGCTTGGTGGGCATTTGGGGTTTTGTTTTGGGTTTTTTTTTTTATTTTGTTTCTTAATGCCTCATTTACCCTTAGGGCTTGGTTAGGCAAGATCCAGGTATCATTTCTGTGAAGCCAGATGTGGATAAGGAACCTTTATTATCATCACTGTTATTTTATATTTATCTATTATGGGGTGGTACATATGTGGAGGCAGAGAACAACTTGAAGGAGTAGGCTCTCACCTTCCACCTTGTGGTTCTTGAGGATCAAACTTGTATTGGCAGGCATGGCCTGTGGTCTCTTTTGGAAATTGTGTTTCCATGAAACACAAAGAAAGCAGCACTGCTTCATTCCCCTGGGAATTCTCAGGCAACTATGAAATATAGTTATTCATTCTCTCTCTCTCTCTCTCTCTCTCTCTCTCTCTCTCTCTCTCCCTCTCTCTCCCTCCCTCTCTCCCTCTCTCCCTCTCCCTCTCTCTCCCTCCCTCCCTCTGTCTCTTTCTCTCTCTCCCTCCACACGTGCACAGCTGAGCAAGGAAAAATAAGTAGCTTAAGAAGAGAAAAATTACTTGCTGTTTTACCAAAGTGGGTCACTAATATAGATCATGTTTCATGCTGAATCTGATCTTAGAAACTAGGGTGTTGGTTGCTAGTAATAAAAATATGGTTTTTTCTTTATTTTAAAATCAAAATCACTTAACTGTCAAGTAAAAACATCACAGCTAGGGGTTAAAGATACACTTGCCCAGTCCCAAACTCTATATATCTCAAACTTTTATACAGCTAGAATAAAATAATTAATTTAAAAGCAACCTGAAGTGCTGCCTGTCTTTAAAATTTTATCATGCACAAATCATGTTATAATGATACTAGCTGTGAATTCATTGTTTTATTTTTTTCTTTTAAAAGATGGTGAGAAGGCGGATATTTCTGTGAACATGTATGAAGATATCAACATTATCACTGGTGCACTTAAACTGTACTTCAGGGATCTGCCAATTCCTCTCATCACGTATGATGCCTACCCTAAGTTCATAGAGTCTGCCAGTAAGTATGAGCATGTGAGTCCCCCACCCCACGAGCTGCCTCTCCTCCGTAACCACTTCCCCTTCAGTCCATCCCCTACAGCTCTCTCCAAGGTCTGGTCCATATAGCTCAGATTAACCATGCCTTTTGTACTGTACTGCTTTTCCAAAATAATCTGTACCAGTGCTGCTTGGACGTGGATCAACTTTCCGTAAGATAAATCAAACACCAGAGCGAGGCTGCTGTCTTGTTTGGTTCAGCAAACGTTCCAGTCAGTATCAGTACTTACCCTGAATGCCCAGACCTTCAGAGTTCACAAACTACCTGTAGCCTGTCAATTACGCTCCAGGAATACGGCTTCACATCATCGAGGAGTCTGAACTTGGGACTCAATACTCCTCAGCCAAAATTTTGGTTTTTGTTTTTTTAATTAAAGTTGAGAAGAAAATGGCTCATTTGCAACATGTTATTTCTGTTTCAAAATTCATACCTGTAATTCACATCTCACCCTTTAAAGAAGGGAAATCATAACAGACGTTAGGTGTTGGCATCACTTTTTTTTTCTTAAAGAAAAGCTAGTCTGTTCCTGTCGTTTTGCTTCTGTCTTTAAACCCATATGTCCTCCGTGTAAATAATGGCATCCCTTCCTTGGTAACACAGTGATTCCTCTGCTTTGCTCCTTCACTTGGACTGTCACAAAGCAGTAACATCCTTTGTTCTGAGTGCAGTTTCTCCTTCAGAGCTTTTTGTTGACCTTTGATGGTTAGTTTCCTGGAGCTGTGATTTCTCCTGGGTCAATGAGAGAGATCTCAATACAGCATGAGAAAGCCTGATGAGAAGTTAGAAAACATGGATGGTGTAGACACAGTTTCTGTCCTGCCAGGTCCTGTAGGCTCTTCAGCACCAAATAAGTACACAGAGACATATTAATTATTAAACTGTTGGCTGATGACAGCATTCTTATCAACTCTCAATAATTAACCCATTTCTATTAATCTATGTGTTGCCACAAGGCTGTGGCTTGCCTATAGACTGGCATGTTAGTCCTTCAGCAGCATGGCTGCTGCTGGAGGCCTCTCTCTGCGTCCCTCCGCCTGCCCCGTTCTCCTCGTCTGGTAGTCCTGCCTATGCTTCTGCCTGGCTGCTGACCAGTCAGGTGGTGCCTGGCCTGCCTTGGGCATTAGCTGCTCCCAGTTAGGATGGCCTCGGTGCTCCTTGTGGTTGTCTGGGGCGTCTGAAGGCAGTCCTCAGCTGATTGGTACCAAACTGGAAAGCATGTGCCCTGTGGAGGGCCACAGAGGACATTCGCCTAGCTTGCATAGCCCCAGGTGTGTGACGGTAGCTAGAAGGTGGCTCTTCCTATCACTGTGCAGCTTGGGATTAGAGTGAACTTGGCTCTGTGCATGTGAAGCAGGACAGGACAGAGCAGTGACTCACACAGCCTCGCTCTGAACCACACGCCCTGTCTGCTAACACCCAAGTCTCTTGTTGGATGCTGAGGCCTTGGGCCCCACACTCTCATGACCTCACCTTCTTTCCCCATCCCACCTTTACTGCCCAGGAAAAATCTTTCTTTTTTGTTTCTCTTCCAAACCATTTGCCATTGCCATAGAATTCTTTCAGAAGCCTTCCTATCTGAAATCAGCAACACTCCCTTCCCCCCCAAATGGAGAGAAATAAATGCCTCCTTTATAATCTAAACTAGTAACTGATTTCTGTGACACCAAAACCCCTGGCGCCCTCACTGTGCCTCATGTCAATGTGTGTGGTCCTGTTTGATGCTGATGGCTGTGGAACGTAGTGTCCTTTCCCTATAGCCTGCTTCTTGCTTAAGGTGTGTAGACACAGGTATACCTCAAAATGCACAGAAGGGAGATCAAACGCCTTGACAATTACAGAGGTATACCTGAGGTGCCTGCACCCCAACCTGCTTGTCCTCTCATTGAGGCCTTCACTCACTCACTTTGCACTCTGCCTAGCTTCTTCAGGAACAAGGAGAAGACATATGATGGAAGGGAAACCCCCCCATAAAGTGATGGTCAGGAATGGATGATACTTCCTAATGTAGTTAAAAACATCTCTCAGTTTCTACCGCCCAGAAATCTCTGGCATTGTTTATCTTGCTTTCACAACAGAAGTCATAGTTTATGTTGAAGTTTTTTCTGCAAAAGCTGGTGGAGCTGTGCTGTAAATAGCTTTTCTTGAAGTCCCAATGTGACAGCTGAAGTGAGAGGCTGAGGGCCGGTGAAGGGATGCTGATGCAGGGCAGCCAGATCACCCCGCCTCTGCAGGCTGCACAGCCTCTGTAAACCCTGAAATGGAAGCACTCCCCTCCAAAGTTCCTTGAGGTCCGAGTCAGCAAGCCTTACTACAGCATCTTGTCAGAGAGCCAGCATCTGCAAGTACCCTCTGACCATGGTGGAAACCATGTGGGGACTGTCGCCAGCCCAGGAGTCTTTCTTCCAGATGATCTTTGACAACCACATCACCCCTAAGTGTGCAGCCTTGAGTGAGCCCGGCATGGAGAACTTTCTGGGTCTCCTCCATCCACAGCTTGGTAATCCCAGTAGCTTAGGGAAATTTTACTCTCACACTGAACTTCTCTGTAGAGAATTAGCAATACACGCTCCAGACACACGTTAATTAGATCTTGATCCAGGCCCCAAGTTCTCACTTCCTAGCTCTCAGTGTTCCAAGACCATCTCCCCTCGTCCTTCTCCAGCCCTCAGCCATGTATCCCTTCTCCTTTCATTACATTCCCACCCGAGCCTCATTCCCATCTTGGGGCAGGCGGTAGCTATGACTTGGTTTCTTCACTGTGCTGGCATCTACCCCTTCAGGGCATGATTGCCATCTCAGGTGTTATTTTCCTCAGGCCTGGATTAGTCCCTCATTTAAATAATGGTTAGGTATTAAACATTGTTGACTATTAAACTTGGAATTTTATCTGGAGATGCACAGGCTTAAGTCATTAAATAAATATTCTAAGGGATTGTAAAGCTAGAATTTTTTCCTTTAATTCATTGTTTAATTTGGAGGTTGTATGGGTTGGTTAGTTGGTTGGTTTTCCCAGTTTTTATTTTGGTTTTGGTTTTGGTTTTGGTTTGGTTTTGGTTTTGGTTTTGTTTCAGTCATGGTTTCTCTATGTAGCCCTGGCTTTCCTGGAACTCTCTCTGGCTAGCCTTGAACTCAGATTCATCTTCCTTTGCTTTCTGGGTGCTGGGATTAAAGGCCACTGCCCATCTTAAGTCTTGTCTTGGAACTCTCAGTAACTGCACACTCATTGTTTTTCTGTAGACAGCCAATCCACTGATGGTGGACAGGTGTGACAGTCACAAAACCTGCCTGCCTCAATGCCCTCCTGTCCTCTACATGCTAGACTTTCTACACTTGATGACAGCTGATCTATAACGCCCATTTGTCTCTGAACACCTTCCATGTTTTCTGTTTGCCTCTTAAATTATGCTGTAATGGTCTGTGACTAGAAGTTTGTTCTCTCAGATATTGACAATGGGCACTACTTGTGTGCATGGGAGGACAGGGGGACTGATGTCCAGAAGAACCTCTGGCTGGTTTGATGTCAGCTATTCAGTGTGTTTATCATGTTCCCACCTCTTTCTGCCACAGCAGGTTCATCCAGGTCAGCACATTCATTTGTACATCTGAACGTCTCAGAGAGAACTCTCCCAGACCTCCTCTACCACCCCTAGCTGTCTGCACCCAATCCTTGATCATTCTTTATTCCCCCTTTTCTTACACATTGCCCATCGGGAAATCTTACTGGCTCTACCTTCAAAATGTACTCAGAGTAAAACAGTTTCTCATCGTTCACACTGCAGTCACCTGCCAAACTATGCTAGGAACCCTGGAATTTTGTTAGTTACTGGAATGGTCTTCCTGGCATTATTCTTGCCCTTCTATAGTTTGTGCTCTGCACAGCAGCTAGAAGAAAGGGAACCATAGAAAACGAACATTAGTGCCGGTGTGAGGGCTCAGTGGGTAAAAGACATTTGCCACCTAGGCTGACGGCCTGAGTTGGATCTCTTGTACCCATGTGGTAGAAAAAACTGACCTCCACACATGTGCCATGCATACTCACGTACACCAACAAATAAATAAACAGCATGTTTAACTGAACATCAGGTTACAGTCCATCTTCATTCATAACCTTCCTGTTTCTCTCCATAAACCTTCAGGGTTGACCACAGCTGACATGAGAAAAAGTGTTTTCCTTTCTGACGTCACCCCTTCATTCTCCTCTGCAGCCATATCCACTGCCCCTCAGTCTTACCAGCATGCCCCCTCAGGACACCACATGCTCAACTGGGACTGTCTTCCCTCCTCATCTCATTCCTTCACTCCTCTGAGGTTTTACTCAAGACCTTTCACTCATGTTGAGGTTTTCCCTGACCTTTAAAATCAAGCGCCCAGCATGAGCATCCTTGGTGCTGTCTCACAGAACCCGCCACACTCTTGTACACTGTAGGCTGAGTGATGCTGACCTTGGTCGGTATCTACTGTCAGCCTCTCCAGGAGGAGCCAGGCTCCCCTAAGCTAGCATGTGGTGCTGCGCACAGCCTCCCACTGTCTCAAGCTTCTCCTGGTCAAGATTGATTATAGAAGTTAAAAAGAAAAAAAATCTGCTTTTAATTTCTGAAATCATGTAGTTCCAAATTAATTTAGCCCTATGCTAAGAGCTAGCTTTCCATGGTAAACAGGCTTTGCTTCTCTTTATTCTAGAAATCCAATTACTGAATTTCCATGTCTGAGAAAATAGCTGTGTTGTGAACAGATACACTTGAAAGTCCCCATGGTTTGGAGTTCATGCATTATCTGTCATGGCAAAAGAAAAGAACACATTCTTTGTTAGCAAGAAATGAAGCAGGAGTTGACGAAGCTTTGGACCAAAGCTGCAAAGCAGTCAAAGGTTCTTTTGAACTAAAAGCTTCAGTCACTAGTCACATTCTAAGACTCATCCATCCTGTTCTGTGTAGTCAAAGCTCAGCCTTTATCCTACACTGGCCTTTACTGAACCTGGTATACCCAGTGTGCACAGTATACCCAGAATTAATAGCGTATACAGCATACCCAATATATACAGTATACACAGTATACCCAGTATACAGTGTCACTGAACAGAGCTGTGGATATAGGAGAGAGCCCAGAGTTTCTGCCTTCTGTCTTAAACATTGGCTCCTGGGCAGATGGAGCCTTCCCAGCATTTCAGGGCTGCTGTCATGATTGGGACTCCTAATCATGTGTTAAGTCCTGTTGTGGCTGGCCTGAGGCCCGGCATTTAAGACACTCCTTGTAACCAGAGTGAGAACGTGATTGCTTTTTCAAGAGCACAGAAGTGCAACAGCTTCAGCTGTTTGTGTTACAGGTATGATTGGCAGATGGAGCAGAGCTCTTACAGTGAAGAGCTGGTGTGTGAGCCCTTAGTGCAGATCTCAGCTGTCTAGATCTTCTCTTCATGGTGGACTCCTTTGGAAGAACCCCCTTAACACAGGATGCCACCATGGCATAGCACACTTAGAGCTAACTGCCTGTTGGGTGTTCTTCAGAACATGTTCTAAGAAATGGAGAGTCCTCATGCTTTGAAGGGAGAATTCATTTTGCTCTATAACACACAGCATAATACATATAGCAAGCAAATGTTAGATGATACATTTCTTAGAAAGAAAAGGACTGGGGTATTCCTCAGTAGTAGAGTGCTTGCCTAGTATTTATGAGGTGTGGGTTCTGCCCATACCACTACAAAGATAAGCAACATCATTAAAAGCAAAGAAAAAAAAACATTGTCAGTAAGACTTTGCCAGGAGTCCCAAGAGGCAGTAGGCTAGCTTGTCTTGTATACTACAGGGGTTTCCAAAATATTCTGAGAAATATGTATATCTATAATGTTCTCAGATGAATTCATTAGAGTGTATAAGGCTTTATTTGTGTGTCTGCATGTGTCTGGATTTGTTACAGTTACATTCTGAATACCTAGTGTGTCCATTTTCTTCAGTTGCCAGACCATAAGACCCTCAAGTGGGCTGGGGGAAGCCCATTAAGCCCTGTTTCCACACTGAAGCTAAGATGGCCTTGGACAGCTACTTTTGGGTTATGAGCAAGGTTCAGTGAGATACTGTTTTTCACTTGCTGTACAAAAGCATCACGGGAGAATATTCCTAGGCAGTCACATCAGTTTTCTGCTAGAGCA